CGTAAGAGGGGGCATCCTTGTCGTAAGCCTCGTTGGTGCGAGAATTAAGTTGTGGGAGTACCATTTACAAGTATTTACATAAAGGCCATAGAGATGCACTATCTTATCCACCCTCTCCATTTAGATCCAAATCCCATGTTTTGCATAACGAAGTCTAAAAAATCCTAATCAACACTGTTAAAGGCCTTTTTGAAATCAACTTTGAATAGGAGGCCACTTATTTTGTGTTTATGGATGGAGTCAATGAGTTCATTTGCAATCAAAGAACAATCTAGGATTTGTTTGTTTTTAATAAAGTTCTATTTGGTTCTCTCCCATAATTAAGTTGATCATTGCTTTGAGTCAATTAGCCAATACCTTAACAAGGATTTTATAGATGCTACCAACAAGACTAATGAGCCAATAGTAAGAAAGGGACATAGGTCCATTTATTTTTGGAACTAATGCAATGAAAGAGGCATTTATGTTCCTGTTCAACCGCCCAGTAGAATAAAACTTCTCCATGAAAGCAAGAATTTCACTCTTGAAGATTGGCTAATGTTTCTTGTAGGTCTTTAGAGAGAAGTCGTCAAGCCTTAGAGCTTTATTGCCATCACATTGTTGGGTGGCAGCCCATATTTCTTCTTCTATGAAAGGAGCTTTAAGGCTATGCTTTTGATTTGAACTAATTTGCTTAAGTTAGCAATTGACCTCTCTGAGTTTTAGAATGTACTGCTTGTGGAAAAAGCTCCTAAAGTGAGAAACCACCTCCTTTTTGATATCAAATGGGTCATAAATTGAGGTATCATTCTACTAGATGTGATAGATCATGTTTTTCCTTTTCCTGTTAGAGGTCGTTATGTGAAAGAATTTAGTATTACAGTATCCATGATTGACCTATTGAAGTCGAGACTTCTATAACAAAAAATGCTCTTCGCACCAATAAAGTTTCCACAAACTTGCTTTGAGGATTGTATAAAAATCCTTTTCATCAGCAGTCAAACTATTTAGTTTCAACTTTTTTCTCTAGAGAGCCAATTTCTTTTTCAAGTAGAGGATTTTTTTTCTTATCATTGGCATGATGCTGCTGCTACCATGACTTGATTGAGTTTTTGAGCTTTTTAATTTTGTCAAAGATACTTCTATGAAAGTTGGAGTTAGCTTTTATATTGTTCCAAGTATTCATAAGGAAAGCATTGAAATCTTTATTTTCTAACCAGTGAGAAAAAAGTTTGAAAGGCATAAGCCCTAGTCATTCTAATTAACAGCCAAGGAAATGGGATTATGATCAGGAGTGGAACAAGGTAAAACCTTCTGTATATGCTCGAATAGCTTAGAATAATATCACTTGTGACAAGAAACCTGTCTAAACGATACTTGGTGGGAATATCTCTATTATCAGTCCAAGTAAAGAGTCCCTTTGTAAGAGGAAATCGATAAGCTCCATAAAATCAATAAAGTTAGAGAAAAGAGCCATGCTTGCTAGATCAAGGTGTCCATCACTTTTCTCATCAGCTGTTCGAACAATATTGAAGTCAACACAAAGACATAAAGGTCTCATAATTTCATTTCTAAGCTCAATGATATCTATCTAGAAATTGGCTCTTTCCAAGGAGTCATTAAGAGCATAAAGATTGATAAAAGAGCAGTAAAGATTTATAGGTTTAATAACACCTGAGATTAAAATGTACCTCTCATTCACCTTGAAACTAGATTGATTGAAAAAATCATTAGACCATATGGAGATGAGTCCACCAGTAGTGCTTAAGGCATTTGCAACCTCTCCAGAAAAGCTACCATTCCTCTATAAAAACTTAAGGAGTTTCTATTCAACTGTGCTTTTCTTGGTTTCTTGAAAAAATAACATCACTGACTTGTTAGAGGTAACCAATCTCTACACAGCCCTTTGCTTAATTCATGACCCAAGGCCCCTGACATTCCAAGATATAGTTGGTCTTTTTGTCCAACCTAGAGAAATGGTGGATAATAGTGTCTTGATAATCCTTGAAGATTTATCCTATAAAAGAACATATTTCTAAAACGTTCCCAACTTACTTAAGGAGTAAAGAGTTCCTTTCCTTGCTACCTTCATCGGACAAAGAATTCCTATTAGATGAAGAGACTATTTATCCATCCATGTTGATTTCTGTGGTAGCTCTTTTCTTCTTTCTTAACATTTCAACTTTTGTTTCTTTTCTTTTCCCATTTTTCTTGCAAGTTTGCTCATTGTCTAGATTGAAGCATTTTTTCAAATACTTGAGTCTTTTCAACTAAAACAAAGGTCTATTTTCTTTTGTCTACTTGGCTTTGATCTTAGCTCGTAATTGAGCTAGAGTTGTGTGGTCATCATTTATTAAGATCTTATCCTCCTTAGTGATAGGGGCTTTATTTAATTTGCTTGGCGCTTTACGAGCTGTCTTTGTTTTAGTGTTGGATTTTGTTTGTGTTTTTACTTTTGGTTTTTTATTCCTTGATGGGTTGGTTTGATTGGTAGGGTTGCTTTGGGTTTCGTTTTGTGTTGGGCTCAAATGGTTTTTTTGGTTTAATTGTGATTGAGTGGGTTGTGTGCTACCCTTTGAGATTTGGGTTAAAGTTGGGATTTTTGTATGTTGGGTTTGAGCTTACGTGGTGGGATAGCAATCTACACTTGTACTCCAAGCTAGCTCATATGTTTCTTTTTACAATGGGTCACTGTGGTCTGAACTCAAGTCCCACTTTTGACTGACGGTGTGAGATGTCCGTTGTGATTGCAACTAGTTGCATTGCTCAACCTTTACAGTTCAAACTTGTCATGTCCATTTGAATTTTATCTATTGATTTCTTAGGAGTTTCATCGAACTAGGGGGAAGGAGGGCATTGGGGATGCCAGAGTTCCACCGTTGTCATGTGGCTTAGGGAGTTCCTAGATATCTTCAACTTTGATAAAAATTCTATGGGTGTTGCCATTTGCTTTGAACAAAATAGAGTGAGGGATTTCAATGTTTCGCTTCTTTATAATTAATAAGCGTACAATGTCATATCTTCTACACTAGTATGTGTCCTCATCAATCAATATAAATGACCCACATTACTCCCCTATTTCTCTAAAAATTGTTTCAATCCATAAATTCACAAGAATGCCGTCCACTTTTAGCCAAATAAGCTTTTCGTCATATGATTTTGAGTCTTTCCATGGAGTGATTTTTTCAAACCAAAGATTAAACCATGCATGATATTTTTTGGTGCATGCATTAAAATCCTCCACAGAGAAGAAGGTAAAGAGGATATCCCTCCCACCCATGGGTTTGACTATACAATGCTAGCCCCTCTTTAGAAAAATCTCTTATAAAATGTGGTGGTGGACATAACTTTGAAATGTCCCCACGGCATTTCTGTTCAACCATTCAAATTTTTCTTGGCTAACATCAATGTTGAAGGATACTTGTTAATCAGACTAAATCCGAGGGGGAGTTCTGAAGGGCTGAAGATAAGTTCTTTCATCCCTAGGTGAGCTTGGTGTAGGGCAGTGTGGGATGGCCAACTGTGTTGTAAGTTTGGCTATTGGTGCATGGGTGAGACTACAACTCTGCTGTTTGGTGCTTTTCCTCATGTTCCAACCATAGTTAACCTTCTTGACTATTATGAAATGTTCGTCAAGTCTTCGACCATTTTCATAAGTAATGGCTTTTTCCATTTCTTGAATTTCCTTATACCAGATAAATGCAAAAGTTGTGAGCTTACTTAGGTTCTGCTTGTTGGATATAAACACATCTTTCACCATGCCGTAAGCCTTAAAGACCTCATTCAATCTTTATCTAGTGATCCTTTTGCTAAGTTGCAATAAAAATAATGTGTAAGGAAGAGCACCAATCTGCTTCATTGTATCGTGGTTAAAGAAAGGCCTGATATTTTGGCTTGGATATGCGTTGGTAGGTTGGCTGATTAGATAGGTATTGGGAAATTTGGATGTTTACATTGGTGAGGGGAAGTATCAAAGGCGGGGACAATGGGGGAAGGTGGTACTTTGGTGGGCCTAATGGTGGGGAGTGGAAGGTTGGTGTAGTCGAAAGTGATGGTCGAAGGGGAGGGAACTGTCGAGGGCGGTAAGGGTTGAGGTAGGTACTGTTCATGCTTAAATCCTAAAGGATAATGGATTTGTTAATCATCTGATTGGGCGTTTATGACAACTATTATAGTTCACACTTGGTTGTTGCTCTTTTCTTCTCCAGTCTTTGTCAACCTCTTTAAGGCACAGATACCTTTCTTCCAGTGGGATATTTTATCCTCTCGCTATGGTTTCTTCCAATTCCTCTTTATATTGATATCTAACAAAGGCATACCTGATCAACCTGTTTCTTACAACCTTAGGGAGATAAATGTTGACAACCACTTCAAATTGGTTAAAGAAAGTCTTAAACTCTATCCACATCACATTTGTCAATGAAGGCAAAAAAGACACTCCTGTACCTATTACAATACCACTTCCTGTTTTGTTGAAACTTGCAGATCGAATTGAAGATTTTCTTGCTGGCACCTTTTTTTCCTTTTTGGCTTATTTTTTAAAGTGAAAAGCAAGTGATAAACATGAAAGACTTATTGTTGTACCTATAGCAAATCTAGTATTGTGATATATTGCTTCTTTTGTGTAGTAGCCTTGCGGTTTTAGTACTAATTTACTTTAGTTGATTGACTTGTGAAAAAAACTAGAAAAATCCTCATGTGATATTTCTAGTTAAAAGTCTTTTATGTATTATGCGCTTATGTAGAATGAAGTTTTCTAAGTTTGTGCCTTCACGCTGTTATTGTCTTTACTTCAATGTATCTTCTCTTCTGTTACCTCACAAAAGACTCCAACATGGTATCAAGGCACTATAAGAGTTCTTAAGTGACCTACAAAGCTTTTCCAATGATTGTAACCTAAAGAAAAACAAACCAACACAAGCCTACCTACCTCATAAAAACTTTCAAAGATCAAAACTAATTACAATGCACCAACACCTCTTGTCTTCTAAAGAGAAAACTATGCAATATGGTCAGTGAAAATGAAAGTTGACTTGGGAGCATTTGACTTGTGGGAAATGGTGGGAGTTGGTGGACATCCACCTAAACAAAGACAAAATCCTACCATAGCACAAATGAAGCAGCATAGTGAGGAAGGTGCAATGAGGTTTAAGGCCCTCTCTTGCATCCATTCGGCAGTATCTGGTATCATTTTTACATTTATCATGACGTGTAAATTAGCTAAAAAAGCTTGGAACAAATTAAAGGATGAGTTTCAAGGTAATGTTTGAACTAGGCAAATCCAAGCTCTAAATCTTTAAAGAGAATTTGAGACACTAAGGATGAAGGAGGAAGCTAGCTTGAAGGATTATACTGATAAAGTCATAAAAGCGGTTAATCAACTTATGCTCTTGGGAGAAGATGTACCAGAGAAAAGCACACTCAACAAAATTCTAGTTAGTTTACCAAAAAAATTCGAAGCTAAGATCTCACCTTTAGAACACTCTAAGGACCCTCAAGCTTCACGGTTGTGGAGTTGGTAAATGCCTTGCAAGTATCAGAACAAAGGAGAGCAATCCAAGTGAAGGATCTTAGCAAGAATGCTTTAGTAGCAAGTCAAAAAAGAGGAGCCTTTTACAACCAAAAGAAAGCTGAATTAAAAACAAAAAAAAAGAGAGAGAAAGACAAAAGATCGGGTGATGGTAAGAAGTAGAGAACTAAATTTCCTCCATGTCAGTTTTGTTAGTTTAGACCCAATGTTAACTGTCGAGCTTGCAACCAACTTGGACACATCGAGAAAGTTGCAAAAATAAAGCTAACTCTAGTGATCAAAAGGCTATAATAGTCGAAGAAGTGGAACAGAAGGATGAAATGTTGTTTATGACCATCCGCAAACCAGAGAGGAGAAAAAGAGATATTTGGCTCCTAGACAGCTCATGGTCTAACCATACGACATGTGACACAACACTCTTTGTTAATCTTGATGAAAGATACAAGTCAAGCGTAGAAATTGGAAATGGAGATTTTCTAAGGGTTGATGGAAAAGGCATTGTAAAAGTGGAAACCGCATCAGGTATATAGCTGGACTGATGAGAACTTAGTCATTAAAAGGAAACAGGTTCTATCTCCTGTTTATTGATGACTTGTTCAGATACAATCGGGTCTATTTTCTTAAAAACAAATCAGATTATTTTAATAGCTTTCTTAAAAATCAAACAAGTTGAACGATTAAGATGCTTAGAAATGACAACGGCAAAGAATATACAGCTCTTGAGTTTGAGAAATATTGTGCTCAGTTTGGTATAAAGCATCAGCTTACGGTTACTTTTAGTCCCTAACAAAATAGGGTTTTAGAAAGAAAAAGTAGAACATTCATGGAGATGGCCTGTTGTTTGTTGTTTGAGAAGAAACTACCAAAAATTTTTTGGGTAGAGGTCTGTTAAATGCTGCTCCTACCAAGGCGTTAAACAACAAAACCCCACACGAGGTCTAGCATGGCACAAAGCCTTCAGTGGCACATTTGAAAATCTTTGGCTGCATAACTTATGCTCGAGTTTCAGAAAGCACAAGAGAAAAAATTGGATGAAAAATTAAAAATGGCTATCCATCTTGGTTTTAGTGAGGTTAGCAAGGGAGATTGTATGATGTGCTATCCAACAAAGTGGTGGTCAATAGAGATGTCCACTTTGATGAAACAAAGCAGTGGAATTGGTCAAGGCTCGAGATTGTAGGCACTGATAATTTGCAAATTTCCCATGATAGGGATGTACATGGTGTTGAAGAAATAAATGATAATGTTAATGATCCTTCAGCAAGGGGCACTAGAAGCCTTGTTGATGTTTATGAGAGATGACATGTTGCTATAATGGAGCCAACTTCTTTTGTTGAAGCTGCCAAGGATAACCAAGGATAATGATTGGCTCGAAGCTATGAATACTAAGATAAATATGATCTAGAAAAATGACACATGGGATTTGGTAGACGGACTAGCAAACCAGAAAGTAATTGAAGTAAGATGGGTGTTTAGGGCTAAACTTAACAGTGATGACAGCATTAATAGGCTCAAGGCTCGTCTAGTAGTCAAAGGACATGCATAAACCTATGGTGTCGACTATTCAGAAACTTTTGCACTTGTCGCTAGGCTTGATACAATTAGATTTTTGGTAGTAATTACAACTAAAAAAAGGTAGAAGCTTTGGCATCTCGATGTAAAATCAACCTTTCTCAATGGTTTGTTGAAGAAAGAGATAGTTACTAAAGAACCTGGGGGTTTTATGAAGCCAGGTATGTAAAATAAGGTGTGCAAACTTAAAAAGACACTACATGGGCTAAAGCAGGCTCCTCGAGCCTGGTATGTAAGGATTTATGCATATTTGTGTAACCATGGATTTCATAGGAGTGAGGGTGAACCAACTCTGTATACAAAAACCATAGTTGATGATGAAGAACTCATAGTTTCAATTTATGTTGATGACATTCTAGTCACTGGTCTAGCTAACAACTCAATGGTCGAATTTAAGGAAAATATGATGAGGGAGTTTGAGAAGACAAATCTGAGGTTGATGACATATTTTCTTGGTTTGGAATTTATCCAAACTAATGATTATATTATGCTCCACCAAAGGAAGTATGCTCTTGAGCTACTAAAGAGATTTAAAATGGAAAACTGCAAGTCTATTAATAATCCAATAGCTACAAACTTGAAACTATCTTCATCAGATAACGAAGGCCTTGCAGATCCATCACTCTTTAGAAGTGTGATAAGAAGTTCGTTGTATCTATCATCTTCAAGACCAGACATCATGTTTAGCACTAACCTACTATCAAGATTCATGCACAATCCATCAATGGCTCACCTAGCAGTAGCAAAAAGAGTCCTAAGATATGTGAAAGGAAATGCAAACTATGGAATCAAATATGGCAAGACTTGCAGCTATCATCTCTGTGGATATTCAGATAATGATTGGGCTAGGAATCTTGATGACTCCAAAAGCACCTCTGGTTTTGTTTTCTCGTTTGGCAATGGAGTGTTCCCATGGAACTCTAAAAAACAAGAAGTTGTTGCTCAGTCAACAACAGATGTTGAATACATATCAGTTGCAATGGCAACTAATCATGCAGTTTGGTTAAGAAAAACGTTGCTTGATCTTGGTTTTGTTCAAGAAGGACCTACAGATCTATGGGTTGATAACAGTAGCCATGGCTAAGAATCCCGTGCAGCACTGGAGAACAAAACATATTATAGTAAGTTCGATATGATTCGAGAGGCTGTCAAAAATGGAGAAGTCAATGTTAAGCACTACAATTCACATGAACAACTAGCAGATATCATGACCAAAGGTCTTCCAACAGGCAAGTTCTTGGCAATGCAATCAGAATTAGGTGTCTTCAAAACTGATCTTCAGAGAGAGTGTTGAAACTTGAAGATCAAATCCTTCTGGCGCTTTTTGTCCTAGTTGGCTTATTTTTGTAAGATGAAAAACAAGTGACAAACATGAAAGACTTGTAGATGTACCCACAGCAAACCTAGTACTGCAGTATATTGCTTCTTTTGTGTAATAACTTTGCGGCTTCAATACTAGTTTACTTTAATTGATTGGCTTGTGAAAAACTAGAAAAAAACGTCAGGTGACATTTATGGTTAAAAGTCTGTTATGTATCATGTGCTTATGTTTTCTAAGTTTGTGCCTTCACTCTGTTAGTGTCTTTGCTTCATTTTATCTTCTCTTCTGTTACCCCACAAAAAACTCCAACATGTTTGTCTGCCCCTATCTCAGATCATCCCTTACCTTCTTCCTTCTCAAGAACACTCTCAACCTCGGTAGGGACCTCACTACTTTTTTGCACTCCTCACTCTCACTCTACTTCTTTCTCTAATCCTCTCAGTCTCTTTCTGCACATGTTTTTTTTTTTAGCTATAATTGGACTTTTAAGACCAACTTCTCTACCTAGCATCAAAGACTTGGAAATCTCTCATTTCAAACATCAGTCTGTTCTTAAAAATTTCCAACTACCTTGTTCTCCAACTAAGTAAATTACTTCAATGGTTATCATTTCTACTTCTTTGGTTAAGTAGAAGATCTTTATATATGATTTACATTGATCTCTGTGGTCTTGCACGAATATTTTTTGTTGATGGTAACAAGTACTATGTTTCAGTCATTGATTATTTACCTGAGCCCATTGAACCTACCTGTGCAACACAAGCTGTTCAACATCCTCACTGGAAATAAGCAATAGTCGATCAGTTTGCTACTTAAACAATGAATCAAACCTCAAAATTGGGTCATCACTATCCCCCTGGTGGCACTGGTTTTAGGTACAAAGCTAGATTAGCAACCAAAGACTTTACTTAGAGATCTGAATTCAATTTTCATGCAACATTTAGACCTGTAGGTAAACCTGTAACTTTAAGGTTAGACTTGACAATTTCTAATAGTTGACAACAGTAAACCTGTAACCTTCATCAGTTGGATGCCAACAATCAGCTGTACCCTATGACAAAGTCTAAACCAGATTATGCTTGCAGACACAAGAAAGCTATTTATGATCTAAAATGAACACCTAAGGCCTGATAATAAAATATGAGTAAAAATTATAAATATTTTCAAAAACTAAAAATTATTTTAATCAAATTTTGTCCTGAAACAACACGCAAGCAAAATAATAATGATAATAATAAGTACAAGATCCAGATCCAAAAGAACATTAATTTTCATCTTTCAACTTCATCAAAATTGGCCCAGATCCAAGAAATTGTTCATTAAATAACTAGTGGCAAAAAGATGACAAAAGAAAAAATAAAAAATGAATTTTAATTTATACAACTATACTGGGAAAACTATACCGAGAATGTGCAACAACAGTTCCAACTCAACTTGATAGGAGAACCTCTTGTCAAGTGGAAAATAGCAATGGATTAGAAGGTCCTCGAGTATTTCCTGATTTCATACATGATTGAAGATATGGACACAAGATCCTTGTTCAGGGCAGTACCACCATTGATCCTCTTTATGCAATCTGAAAGTCTGGTATAGTAAAGCAGGAGCTGAGTCAATGCAGCCCTTAAGATCTCCATTCCACACAAAAAGTTGCTAAAGGACGTTATCACATCTTTGTGCATCAGTTCTATTGCAGCCTTCCATCTGCTGGCAAAATCCTTAACAAGTGGCTCGACTTCGGCAACAGTTATAGGCCTCTCAGAGCTAGCATTAGGATCCTCCGCTGATAAATAACTTCCACATGAGTCATATCTCCTCATAATAGAGGGTGCAAGTGAGACAAATTGACTCATGAGTACTTGGAATGGAATCAGAAAATACTCAAGCTCGACTCTAATCAATCTTAATATGAGTGAGAGAAGTTTGTCTTATAATATACTTAATTTGAGTGATTCACGAGTCTAATCGAGTGTAATATTTTATGTCTACGGTGCAAATATTCAAGCTTGAGTTTAATTTTAGTTTGATTTTAATCTAGCCTACTCAAGTTTAGCTCGAGTAACTTGAGTACTCTTTTGAGTGGCACTACGCTTCGAAAAATAAAGCTCAATTATGCTCAAACTAAGGTTCTACTCTCAAGTTTTAATTTCCCGTCAAACTGAAGCTTTTTATTAAGTCAACTTAACTCGATTACAATCTCAACACATTTGGCAGAATATGTACCAAGGAGATCAACTTGGAATACTTACAGGCTCGAGTCTTCACAAACTTAATCAAATCACTAAAATGCTCCACTAGCAATTCTTCCTGCATGGTTAATGGATGAAGGAAAGGTAAGCTGCAAATATAAAGGTGGAAACAGAAGTGTGACAGCACCTGAACAAATCCATAACCAACTTTAGCTCTCTCCCTACGATCCCCCTGCGTATCCTAGAACCTATCCCACAATTTTTACTGATTTAAAAGTACAATGCAAAATGGCCAATAGGCCCTTCACCAAAAGGCATGTGTTTGTTTATGCATCAAACATGCAGGTTTGACACAATAAAAACCTGCATATTGCCACAATAGTTCTTTTCAATCACAGTGCGAGAGATGAGGAACAGTGGCCACCATCAAATAAGAATGTAATGCCACTATGGACACTAAAATTTTCTAAAAGAGGGATCATTTAAGCAAAATGAATCTGTTGCACTAAAAATTAATAATGGTGTAGTATATGCAGTGTGATAAATGAAAGAGGATGCCAAGGTTTTAACTAAAATTTGAACTATGGTCATGCTCTTGACACATAATAAAGAGGGTAATCATTGCATATGCAACACTCCACCAGCCTGCCCAACCTAAGAATCACTATGAGGCAACGTGGTTTAAGTACACATCAAAACAGGTCCCTTACCACAAATAATCCTGTGTTACTCTTTAGCAGCTCCTCAAAGTGCAGTTGAAATTTACCGCCTTCAGGACCAGCTTCCTAGAATCCAGTAACAAAAGTCAAAAAAGATTGAAATCAAAGCAATTAAGGTCTAACAGCTATTCGACATATACTACAAACAGATAAATCACTTCTTCAAGAGATTAGTGTCCAACAAAAAGAACTCAACCAAAATTTTAACCTCAACTGTGATTAATTTTTCAGATTGACAAGAAAAGTCCTATCGAGATCAAGGTTAAGTACAATAAAACAGAAGAATCTGAGTACCAATATTTACCTTCAGCACTGCAATTGTCATGTCATAGTTGTTTATAAGAAACACAATTTGTAACTTTGGTTTTGAAAACAATTTTGCAAGCTTCATAAGGACATCGTCAACAGCCATTCTCAATCGTTCCATATTCAATTCAAGCTGCATATTTTGAGGGTAAAATGTTTAGATGATTAAGATCATCAAAAGACTCATAAACAGCAGTTTTATGAATTATTCCATTGTATCTAACCTGCCCATCTCCATATTCAACATTGAGATGAATAAGAGAAGCTGTAAATTCAGCATAACGCCTCATGACATAATGAGGATGAATATCATCTTCCCATAACAGCTTCACATTTGCATTTCGCAGACTGCCGAGGTGCATGTCAAATACCATCTTAAAACGAGGCCAGAGAGAAATGTTAACCTGTTCAGATTCAGTTGACAGTTAGCTCTACAATCAAATTTTGACATCACATAAGCTGAAGACGACCACAATTTTCACAACAACAGAAGTCAATAGTGCATTGAGAAACAAAAACTTCTGTTTGTTATCCATAAGCACCAGTTACATACTAGTTCTTCTTTCCCTCATTTTTTTGCCATAAGGGAAAAAAAACTCGGGCTTTCCATATCACAATGCTTATTGCCTCCAAGAGTTCATACAAATATGCACTTATATTAAAGTTCCATGTGAACACTAAGGGCCCCTTAAGGATAGCCACTAGTAGACTTGAAAATTTTGGACACAACCCGCTAACTCAATACAGAGTTAAGTGGGTTTGAGTCTTGTATAATTATGTTTGTGTGAAAATCGTGTCAAACCGTTTATGACACAATTACTCCTCATATCTAACCCATTTAAACTCATTAATTGAATTATTAATATTTAAAATACATAAAATAACTTATTATTCGTGTTTATAAGGTTAATCGTAACTAAATAAATTAACCATGTCGTGTCTAAACAGGTTAATTATATTTAAAGATGTTAACCGTGTAATAACATATTGTGTTCATGTCAATCCATTTATCTGCTATATCATTACCTTTACACAACACGATTACAATATACTAACATGAATTGCCAGCCCTACCAAGACATTAAATATGTAGAATTTAAAAAAGCATAAAAAAAAGCTAAATTTGGAGAAAATCGTCAAGAATGCAAGAGATGTAAAATTATTTATCACAAACAGAAGATAACAAACCTTGTCTAGATATGAATCCAAGCATGGAATCCTTCGCCGAGACATGATAAGCTACAAAAGGAAACTAAAATGTCACAATTGGAAATTACTTGCAAAACACAAAATTACAAGGTAAAGCCTAAACTTGTCAGAGAACAAGCTGCATAAAGATTTAATGTGACTGACATATATGATGTGTTCAGGTTAAGAAGCATCAAAGTCAATGAGCCTAAGAAACTAATACACCACTCAACATACTGTAAACCACCATATGTTATCTAAATCAAAGATGACATAACAGAGGGAGGGTAACAGCAGAGAGACCTAGAAGTTTGATGTCAAGTGTTCCTAAACCTGAATGAATGAATCATAAATGAGTTGCACTTGCAAATGGTTTAACCAAATATGCTCTGGCAACATAAAACATTGAATCAGAGAAAAAAGCACTAATGGTAGGCATACTAAGATGATGACCCTAGGTCAGACAAGAAATGTAAACAATAAAAACGTTCCCCATTTTATGGCATTGCTATCAGCGCTCATACAACAAAACATCCGTTACAGCACATGACATGCATGAGAACAAGTGGCAGCAGAAGAAAGAATAACATATTGTAGAGGCTTTACTTTGTTTTGGACATTTACAAGCAATGGTTCTCTTTAATCTAATAATCACCACATTAACGTCAGCCACTAAAAGCCATGGGAAATGTGTACATAAGGAACCCAGTTTATCATAACATTCATGAATCCCTTGACATAAATAAGATTTATCGTGTAGTCTACCACGAAGTTAATGCAACACAAGTAGCATAGGAGTCTACTAATGTGCCCACCAGTGTGAAGGCTTAAATACAATCATTAGTTCCACAAACAACAAACTGCCTAAAAGAGAATTATAAATATAAAAGAACTTGGACAAATCACCTGGTGCTGGTGTATTATGCGTATCATAAGCATAAGGCCAATAGCATCATAACAATTTGGAAGTATAGAATTGAAGTGTTCATCAATGACAGCAAATGGACCTGAAGATATGTTAGCACACAAGTAGTCATTAGCAACTCCCTCTGTATCCTGAAGATATGATAATAAGCTGACATAGAGCTTCAAGATCACTGATAATGTCCTACATTTTGACAATTGCTGCTCATATGAAGGATTACCGTACAACATAAAACTACATTACAAGTATCCATGAAAGTCTAACAATAATCCTAGTCAATTATGTAGAAATTCTGCACTTTACCGGCAAAAATATCATAAAATATGGACTCCTCCCCAAAGAACTCATCACAAAAAAGATACCTGCCCAATGCAAATAGGACAAAGGAGGAAAACATTAAACACATATATGACTCTGGACTTAAATTAGCTGACAGTCAGAAGCAAAAGCAGGGAGTAAAGGGTACTCAGAAGTTGCTGTATCCATTAGCAGTTTGTGCAAGCTCCTGAAGAGGACCTCATATGGATACTTTAAAGAGCTGGCTTCGGCAATATGTGGAATAAGTGCAGGTTGATCAATTTCCTGTAAAACAATGCAAACCATGGAATCAATCCAAACAAAAAATCAAGAGTTAAAAAACAAATAAACATGGCTATTAATCAATTTCCTGAAGCCAATAAATATAAGCCACAAACTCAAGCTCTCAAATCAAGGACATAAGAGTCTAGAAACAATCCACACCATTAGTACATCTGGCATGCAGGTATCTTCAAATTTTCAACAGCTTTAGGCTAATTTCTTTTAGCTTAATTAGATATAGAAGACAGGTAAAAACTTAGCCAACAAGACTAACTTACACAACTAATCTAAGTAACATTAAGAAGATTTTGCCTAAAGCTAATATAGCATGATTATCTAAAACCACTGTTTTACCAGCTATCAATTTGTCCATTGGTGCATTATATTAGTACAGGAATAAATGGTATATAGATTTTGGCAACCTTATTTGAGGTGCAACTCATGGCAATAATAGAAGGAACAAAAATAAGTTCCAAAGGTTTCAGAGAATCCATGGCATTGATGGTCGTCCCAGGTCATATATCTACCGAAACCAAGAAAGGAAGAGAAAGTCGCTCCAGAAATCGTTGATTACCATGTCAATCTGTTTGGAGAGATCTTTCTAATAATTCTGTACCTATCCCCATTTTCATGAAATCAAATTCAAATACACAAAGGCATCTTTTAGCTTTTGTCTCATGCAAAAGAGACAAGCTGATAAAGATATGTTTTCTAATTTTTTTCATGGACCAACAAGTTTACTAAGGCCATGACCCATGTACCGCATCTAATCAATGGATTAGATGAAGACAATACACAAGCAGCCAGCAAGGTAAAGAAGACCATCAAATACTTCCTCTCCTGCAAAACCCAAACCCTTCAAATGCTCAGCTAGTCCTCTCACCATAATTTCCTCATAAAGTGAAGCTAATGAACTTGTCATTAGGTTACTAACAAATACAATCACCTATAGCACTCAAAAGCTCATGAGTACTTCTCCCTAGCTACATGAGAGAAGAAATAGGCAATCTGCTGAGTTACTACAATATTACACATCAGCACCAACAAAACAAGGTTACTTTTCTGAATCAACTTTGAATAAGCTAGTATCCAACTATCCAACAAAGAGGAGGCAGCATGGAGGAAGGAAGAGTAAGCACACAAGCACTTGAGCACTAACTCTTGAATTTAATGAACTGAGAATTAGCTATTAACAAGATGAGACTAATCCATCATGAACAAAAACCCTATGCTCTCCAAGGGAATCTTATTCTAAACCAGTTTGATACACCGTCTTGATCATTCGAAGACAAACAATGCAGGACATTAAAAGCGAAATTGATAAGAAAAGTATTCATGATAGCAAGCCTAGTGAAATTTCAAAAACTACTATAAACTTAAAATGCATATGCATTCATGTACATGCAGGGAGCAAGTCACACAAAAGAATAGAATAGTAAAGCATTGTTAAGAGTCATTTTGAGTTATGAACAAGCTAGTTGGGGATAAAAAACTGTGTAAAGCACTTTTATATCTACAGTGTCCAGCGGATTTAACTTTGTCATAGAATTTTTTTATCTAAAACAATTACACATTAAATCAAATTCTTATATTATACTCACAATATTGCTTATGTAAATGATATGTCTGTTATGTGAACTTTCTAAAAGAATACTTGAAAGGGGTTAAAAAAAAGTGAATGATTCTGAAAGACTTACAATTGAAAATTATTCACTGAGGGGCTAATTAATAAACTAACTGCAAACTATTAAATAGATGATAAAAATAACCAAGTTGACTATCAGAACCTTTAAAACATTTAATCTCTCCCCCAATGCAAAAACAGCAGAACGGTTTTTCAGTGGTTCCCTTCCTCTTGAAAAAAGACTAGTGCTTCTGGTCTCCACACCAATCAAATCATTAGAAGTTGCAATATCTAACTGTAATTTCTCCAATGCTTGAATGTAAGCTCGGAAATGTGCACTTAGAACCTGTAAAGGGTGCAAAACCATTCAGTCCTTATGAAAAATCACTTGTACTGAAGTACCTCAGATATTAGCATCCTCATCTTTTACAACATGCAAACTGAGTAAGCTATTAAAACACGGTCATCTGATGCACATGCAACAATAACAGAAAAAGAGTACATGTGACACATGTAGATTGACTAAAACTAAATTTTGATAACACAGCCACCACCATGATCTTCCAAGTTACTTATAAGGTAAGTAAGGTACAGCTTTACAGGTACAGTAGGGAGAGGGAAGAGAGAGATAGAGAGTGAGAAAGGGAAGAGCTAAATCACTGTCTTCTACTCCAGTCGTTAAATCTGCATTCAAAGCTTGAGCTGAGCTACCCGGTTCACTTCAGAAAGGAAGCATTGCAGCTTAGCCCTTGCTCTTTTCACACACTAAAGCTAGTGCAGCCTTATCACTTAGTCTTGGTCATTAGAAAATAGCCAATAAAGTTAAGCTTGATATAGAGCCTGTTAGCCCATGCCAGAGGACCTCAGCTCAGATACACAGGATGGAAATAAAGCATGCAGCCTAGTTCACAATAGAGCCCAATGGGAAAGTTTTAACCACTAAGAAATCAAGTAACATGCCTTATCGCAGCAAATTTCCTCTTTTCCAACTGGTGCTTATGGCAGCAAAATCCAGCTACAAGGAAGGGCTTTCCAGATTGAAAGAAGTAAGGGAACCATCCAAATGATAAGCCAGTTATGACAGAATATAGGTATTTGCAGAAAATTGGGACAAAGTTAAGCTCTCAATTTCCAAATTAGATGGGCCACCAGAGCTCCAATATATGAAGCAACTAGCATTATGTAAGAAATTTAAAAAAAAAATTGCTAACCAATACCAAAGACAAAAAGTTAGATATGCTATCAGGATAAGCAAGAAAAATAGAGGGTGGTTTGTAGTCTTTTTAGGTATCCAAGATCTCAATTGAAAATCCTGTAAATTGACATTTAGCTGGGAAGGTGACATGCATTTTGTCTTAAATCTTCCCAATAAATGCCAAGAAAAATCTTTTAGCAAATCATGCTCTAATTCAGGATAAATATTTTGCTGATAAATTTTTGAGTGTCATGAGAATCTGAAATCATTGTATGGGCCAACTCTATAACATCAGTTATAGCTGCAGCAAAAGAGTAGACAACACATCCTTAAAAATTGACTTATCAGCACAAATGTGCTGACTATTAAGGAATCTGGCAAAGTTACTATTACTAAGTTGTGTGTTTATTTATAAGCACATGACAATTTTTAATGGCATCTTACATCCTAATAGGGCATTATAGCAGGAAGGATTCTCCATGAGAACAAGGCATAATTAGCAGGTAAACTGAGTTGCATGATAAAATTCTTAACGGGAAGAGTGGGAAGAGAAGTAAACACAGTGGTAGCCTCTCCCTTGATTGGAAAACATTTCAACAGAGGGCAAGGATTTGGAGGTATGCATGTACCTTCTACCCTTCCAAAACCCCATTTTTTCGAAGCTCCAAATTGAGAGGGGAAAGTTGGCACATTAAAATTTTAGTATTGTGCTGACAAAGTTACCCTTGTTTTGACATATTTTGCTAATTTAAAAAAAGGCATAATTGTAAATTTATACAATTAGTTATTCTTTCCGTTCTTTTCCACTCTTTAACTAAACAAGGTTTCTAACATAACGCCTTCCATTCCTTTCCCTCTCCCTTTTAGAGTAAAGCCGAACAAGGGGAACTATACCTCTGTCCCCCTCTTCGCCTCTTACCCCATTCCTTCTCCTCCTAGTTCCCAAACATAGTGCAAATCCGTATGAGCTACATACAGCTTCTTTATTACCAATAAAAGAAAACATAAATTAAGTTGATTAAACTGATCTTTTAAAAACAAAAATAGGAACACAGAGAAAAACAAAAGATAGAAATCAAAGCTCTAAAGCCTTCACCTTATTCATTGTGTCAATATATGCTGCACGAACTTCACCATACACCTCTTTGCTATGTTCTTTGAGGAAGGAAATGACATACCTAAAATTCCAGGTTATTATCCATCAAATTACGGCAAACATGCAGTTTATGAAAAAAATAAGCTCCGCATTTATACAATTCATGAAAAATGTAAACATGAGATGAATTGACTACTAAAATAACAACAAAATTGAAGTGGACAAAGAAAGAGCAAATGGTTTTACACATACAGAAAAACAAAAAAAAAAGATATTAAAAATTAAATGTATTAATACCCCTCTGTCATTAAGTCAGTCCACCTTTCTTGTACTGATTGTTCCATGTGTTTGTCAAATACTTATATTTTGACAAGTATTTATTCCTACATTAACTAATATATGCCATATTCTAACTCACAGCATCAAGTTAAAACAAACATTAAATATTAAGTAAAAAAGTAGTGCTTATCAAACTAGAATCACAATTTAACTAAAAAGTAGTGTTAGCTTAAACTCAGTGCCCATGAAAGTAGACTATATTGTTAGTCATGTGGAGTGACAGCAAATAGATCTAAGCATCATAGTGTTGAACACAACAGGAACATTAAATGAGCTGCCAAAGAAATTCATAGAGGAACCTTACTTGTACTTTAAAAGAACATTTTGTTGAAGGATCTGGATGTTTGTCTTTGGTTTCCTCAGTGCTTGAAGCTTTTGAACAATAAAATCAAACACCTATATAAAAATGATAGATGAAGAGTATTTCTTTATACTTGAAGATAGACAGGGATGAAAAGCATTCTTTAAACTCTCTAGTGATAAGGTTTGTAGTGAAATTTGAGTTAAAAGTAAGGAACAGATCAGTACTACATTATCAATTGGCATCTTCTAAAAACCCATTTAAAATTGACATCATGATATTAATCAGAAAAAATAAGACAAGTTTTATTTGAAATATATATATGAACTCCAAGACACGATAGATATTAGTCTATGCCCAACAAAAACTGGACAAAAGCACTTTATATGGTGGAAAATTCAAAGCCAATTCCCAACAATATCAGCAAGACATATTCAAACTCTAAGTTTTCTTACACAGGTCAGAGTTAAGTCAAATCTAAAATCTGTAGGATAAAATGTAGGTGCTGAATTAAGATTACGTCTAGGAATTCGTATATTTAAAAAATCAGTTGTTTGATAAAAAAGAAATACTGAATGACCATATGTTTCAGTTTTTGAACAAGAGATCTGTTCTTTGCTAAACATGATTGAACTTGTAAACAGCTTTTAAGCCTCAATGAAAAAGTAAATAAAATTCTGCAACAACTAGAAAATTTGACCATGGACCTCCAGACACAGAATGAGAGGTAAACTAAAAATCATCTCTGGAATGTCCACAAGAATATTCCAAACAGGAAATATACTCAATATAGAATGATATGCATGATGATAGATAGAGGGTTGTTAAAAAAAAAAAAAACTTGATCTTTTTTGGTAGAAGTCACCCATATAACATAGGAGTAACTACTCAATGTCATCCATGCATGAGGTGAATCAAGTTAACCTTTGATACTGCTTTCTGCCTCAATTTTTCAAGCTCAGGCTGAACATCTTTCAGCGCTTTTGAAGCTTTAACCATTGGATCCACTTCAACAAACTTCAGCTTCTTGCTTAGAATGTCAAGAGTTCTCATATATTCATCGTTGACCTGAAAGAAAATGCCACTGAGAGTACATTAGCAAAAATGGAAAATGTATAATACACCAGAACTTTGAGGATACTAATAGCTGAATTCAGAAAGACATACAGGAGCATATAAGTTCAAGAAATAAAGACCAAGTTATGAATTACTACAAAGAAACATTGTACGTAGAGAACAAAGCAGTTACTCCTGCCACACAAATATAAAAAGACATGCTTAATCCACAAAACAGATAAAGAAGATCAAAACAAGCCCTTACCCTAGTGAGCTTGACTACATGAATCATTTTACACCATTGTGCTCTATTTAGAACCATGTTTTAAGTAAGACCGATAAAAGTAAGGTTCTTATTTTCTAGTTTCCACCTGTGACTTTATTGGACGTCTCCTTTGACATAGCGTCCTTATTATCTCACATCTTCTGACAGAATGATTACTAAGCCTTCAATTCACATGTCCAAACCACCTTAAACATATCTCCCCCATTTTGTCCTCAGTTGGTGTGATCCCCCACCCTTGATGAGATGCATTCGTTTAGTTCACAAAATACAAAGGAAAAGAAATACTTGGGGGTTCTGCAGGTGTGTGCTATATAGATAGATAGATAGATAGATAGATAGAGAGAGAGAGAGAGAGAGAGAAAGAGACGCTAAAAGAGGAGAAGGAGGTGGAGAAGGTGGCGTAGTGTGCAAATTTCTGGTTTTTTCATCTTAAGTAAATGTCCTTGTATGCAGCATTACACATAAATTACTTAATTGAAAACACTTAAAAAGAGTTACACCAGATGTAGAACTCTCTCTAATCTATATGGAAACTTCTTCAGTTCATATTCCCTCATAAAATCTTAAAAAGATCACCTCAGAAAAGATTAGGCGACTGATGAAACTCCTAATATTTGTATAACCATATTTTGGCCTCATAGGAACAATATCCAAAGACATTTTTTAGCAAAGACAATTAGCAAGAAATTTCAATATTCACATGAGAATTAGGTGGGCAAACAGAAACCATAAATACCTCCCCATCAACAATTATGTCAACCATCCTTGGAGGTACTATAATGTCTTCAACAAATTTGGCCAGCTTCGATTCTGCCACCTATTTGAAAAACAACCGATGAATAAGCATTATTGTATCATTCTAAGAAAACTACAATTGAATGGAAAGAAAAGAATAGCATTTAATGGGACCAGACTGGTGCAAAGGATCAGAGTTGACAATGGTAGTAGTAAACTTATTTTATTTGATTTACAGATGAAACGAAGACAATAATAGCATCCGTAGTCCCAGTCTGTAATCTACACAACATTAATAAGACATTTTGAGGTGCGCTAATCTGCATCAACTTGATTTGTAAGGTGGAGTTCCTCCAGGTTGCACCCCATCACCAAGGAGAGGGAAAAAGAGAAGAAAGCAAGGGAAGATAAAAAGGGTAAGTCTTCAACATGAATAAAGCACGTATACCTATACAATCATTTCTTAAAGGCTCATTTTCTCTATCTTTTCAAAATTTAGGCAAGATACAAGGTGACAAGTACTGTTCATCCAAAAGATCAACACACCAGGCATTTAAGCTAAGTCCAAGCAAACAAACAAAGACCTACTGTCTGTAAAGGAAACATACCTTGCGATTCTTTAGCTTTAGACCCATATCCATAGACTTCTCTTGTAGTATTTTTATGTCTGAACTTATTGAACCAATCTCAGCCTGGCACAATGTTAAAACATATTACTGATTCTGACACCAATATATATTCACAACATACAACTCCACTATGACAACAAATTAACTCTTAAAATCTTGTAATGTAATTGAAAAAAAGTAAAACTGATTTGCAAGAGGTATAAAGAAATTGAGCAGCAAGTAGCAATAATAAGCCTAACAAATCCTGTGCACACACATCTAAGCATGACAAAAAGATTAAACAAATAGAATCATTTAATTTAGGGTTAATTACACATTTGGTTCCCGAGCTATGATCAAATGTTCGATTTGGTATGTAAAGTTTAAAAATTCACAATTAGGTTCAAACTTTGCTTCTGTTAAATAGCTTGCACCTGAGACATTGTCTGTTAGTCAAATAGGTGACATTGACAAAAAACAACAAATAGGAGTGTGCCATGTGTCTAACTCCTATTTGCCATTTGTTTCCATGCCACCCATTTGACTATCAGAGTTAGTGAGGTGCGCAATGTGTTTAACAGAATAAAAGTTGGAGAACTTAATTGCGAATTTATTTTCTTCACCTACCAAAATGTTAATTTCACTATAGTTTGGGTATCAAATGTGTAATTAACCCTTTAGTTTCCCTCCTATGTTAAGATTCGAATGCATCTTAGTATACTTATCTTGCTGAACTTATTTCCGGTCAATCACCACAAGTACTAGCAAGAGAAAAAAAATCAAGGCCATATAAATTCCATGCTTTAAAATAACTGCAGAAATGAAAACAAGCAATTCCAACAGTGGAGCAGCTTACATCAGAATGCTATTCAGAGTTTATAGAGTGTCTTTTGCATATTCAACCATTTATAAACATTACCCTGTAACCCCTCTAACACTTTAGCAATATAAGGATCCAGATTAAAAGACCCAGATATGCTGAAAACAGCCCTGAGCACAAAGAGTTAATAGAAGCAACAAATTGTTCACCCTAATGATAAGTTAAGGACTACAGAGCTTTTCAAGAAAGGTCATCATGATCAAACCCTCTGACTGAAAACTTAGAGTGCTGCCTGATTCCTTAAACTAACCTGTAGTTCACAAGGCATTATAACTATTTTCAGACTACAACTTGACCTGATTGGACTACTTTCAAAAAGCCTTGAGGTTGCAAATTAACTGAATTTCACATTTGCCTCAATGTAACTAGCCAGGCAGCACAAGCTCAAAGGTCATTTCAAGACTATGCTATAGGAAATCAAATCAAATCAATATTGCTCTCCAGTTTGCAGTTTTACTCAAACGTAATTTATTTCTATTTAAGCATCTATACAATAACTAGGAAGTGCCACCTACTTACACACTTAAGAGTTTAAAAGTGGCCCTTTAAATCAATCTGGGAAAATGAAAAGTTTGCTAAGTTGTAGAACACTCAAACCTCACCTTTCATTGTTTAGTTGTGACCCCCACCCCCCACCCACCACCCCCCCCCCCCCCCCCCCAAAAAAAAAAAAAAAGCTACGAAAGCGAAGTATATAAAAGGATGTTCTAATGATAGAAAAGCATCAAATTGCTCAATTGTATTTCAGGAACTAGCATACCTGAAACCCACTGAGAAGGGTCTCCATTTGGGACAAGATGCTATCACAATCACGAATTTGATCATGGAGAGACACTAGATTATCACTTTCTTTTATATAATCCTGCATCACCTCAATACTTGAAATGCCAATTAATTAAATGATCCCTTGCCTTTGTACAAAAAGAATGATAAGAACAATAATGATAGTCCACCACAAAAAAGGAAGCAAAATAAGATGCCTGAAGATAATAAATGACGGTGTATGCCAAGATTACTTTTAAATTTCAACAAATGGCTTGGCAGCATAACAACCTTACAACATAAGGCACAAATAGCCTTGACAGAAACATTACGTGCTAATTACCACCTCTTTGTTACATGCTGTAAGAATGATTTAAGGCAAAAACAACAAATAGAAAACGCAATTAATGTGTGGACCAAGCATTAACATGCTCTAGTTTGTCCAAGGTAACTGTAAATCAAGTCAAGACAAAAACAAAGGCTTAGAAGCATCAAAAAGTGTACAGGGGGATATATCTTAAAAGAGATCACAAACCTGAATTGAATCCAACTCGACTTGTCGTAGGTTGTTCTCAACCCCCTTTGTATACTCCCTTAGTTTTATACCTTTGGACAATATATTTGCAACCACCTACATAATACATGCGAGGGAAGAAAACATATCTAAGCCTTTGCAGCTTAACCAACTCATTTTGCTAAATATAGTACACCACTGAACAAGCAATTATTTCATTTTCACTCATTGCATTTGTGGTCTAGGGATAACCTAAATCATTAGAATCCAAAACAATAAAAAATTACTTACATCATCATTTTTGCATTCTTCCAATTCTTGCTGAAGCCCCTCCAACGATATATCATCACTACAAACAAAAAAAGAAAGGGAAAATCAAACCTTAATACCCCTATGAAGAAGTCGGCACTTGTTGTCAGATTCAAGAGTTCTCAGAAACGAAAATGATATAAAGAACCTGCTGGTATCCTCCTCAACAATCAAGTCTCCAACAAACGTTCCAAAATCAAATACATTTTTGGGGGTCTCATTTGGGTGACTCTACAAAGATTGATAAGATAGAATTATAGCACTTAACATATTAATAACAACAATAAAACCCTAAAGCCTCGAAGAAAATTCCGTAGTATTGAACAATTAAATCAGCCGAAAGTGAAAAAAAAACTACTGCGTTGTTTGCTGCAACATCGGCCATCTTGTTCAACACCCAATACCTCAGTAGCTACGTTCCAACTGAAATAAAATTTAAATACAGCCAAAATTAGTTTTCTTCCATTTCTAGGCAACAACAGAATATAAAAATAAAAGAAAGGGAATTTGAAACTTGACCCAGATTCAGATCTTAGTTATCTAACAAAGCCTAGGAAATATTAGCATCTAAGACAGTTCAATTAACATTCCCGAATTAGCAAAATTAAAAGAAAATGCGAAAGATCGGGAGATATTAAAGAAGCACAGATCATAAATTCGAAAAGTGAAGAGAAGCTTCCAAAGCCTTACTCATCAATTTCTATGAAACCGAAATTTCAGATTCTAAGTGAATGCCTTGCTTGCTTCTGTCAAAGGGTCTCAAGGTTTTCAAAAAGAGAAAGAAGGGAGCTTGATTTGGTGAAACTAAACAGGTGGAAGTGCGAATAGAAGAGAGAGGAAGAAGAAAACAGAAGGATCGTGGATTATTTTTACAATTTTAGAAACCAAAATTATTTTTAAATAATTTGAAAACATATATAAAATAAAAAGAAATATGTAATAAATGAAAAGGTGAAAAATTTATTTGCTTAAATGGGAATTTAAGAATGATAGAATATTAAGAAATTTGTAAGTGATAAATTTTTTGGAGAGAGAATTTTTTAATATTGTAAGAAAAGGGTTAAAAATTTGAGAAAATGTAATTTTGAAATAAGATATTCATTTACTTTTGAAATAAAAGTTCAATTTTTTATTCAAGTGATATTTAAGAAAATTAAAAATAATAACAATAATGGTGAAAATTTTAACATAATAATGATAATAAAAACTAACCATTTCAAAGAAATTGGAAAAAAAGAAAAAAAAAACAGATCAAAGCTCTTTCATAAAATACCAATTAACGACTATTCTTAATTTTCATTGAAAAATATTGCAAAGATTTAGGAAAAGTTTTCAATATTTAAATAATAGGATAAAAAATAAAAAAAAATTGAATAATAACAATAAAGGGAAATTAAATTAAATATGAAACTAAGGATTATCTTACAAAGGTTAAAATTGAATAACACTAATCATATCTTAATGAGAATAGTGAGTTACTTTGTAGAACTAATCTATATAAATTAATCACACATTCCACATGGGTTTTAAGCTACCTGTATAACTACTCTGAAATACTCATACTTCACATGTTATATTATCCTTTTATGCAAATTCTAGAATAAAGGTGCTACTCTTGTGCCACATTCTACTACTTTGCTCCTTAGCAGCTTCTACTATTTTCAAGTATCAATCTTTGTTCTTCTTATATTCCCTTTCAAAAGGAGCATGGATATTAAGAAAGCTCATATTGTATAGTAAATACTAAAATTGTCTTGGTAAAAGCACTTTTGTAAATATGTCTACTATTTGGAGATTTGTTGGAACATAAAATGGATTAATAACTTTTGTAAATATGTCTCTCACTTCTTAGACTTCTAGCTAACTAGGCAGTCTTCTAGAAAAAGGCTAAATCTTGAATTATAACACCCTTCATAATCACTATCTAAATGTGCTTTTAGCTTAATTGCTTATTTAGTTGAAAACAAAATTCCTTGTTCAAGAGCTCCCATTAGACATCTAAGTAGTCATATTCCATTTTCTGAAAGGATCATAACTGGCACATGAACCTATATAGATAAAGCCCATTAAGTCCAAGCAAGCCTAAACCAATAATGTATGAGTTAGTCATCCATCGTATTTATATACGTTCCATTTACAGTTAAGAATATGCAAATAATTTACTAAGGCCACCACAATACGAAACTTCTAAATATAAAATGTAATTTTTATCGCATTTCATATAAATATTCACAATGATATAATAACTTATGGTCCGGCACAAATTTCGTACTTATATTGTTATGATTCATGCATTATAGTCTTATCATCCATTTACACCTACATCAAAGACTCAACATAATGTGATGAAGTATAAAAAAGTATGAGTATATCGACATTTATTTACATAACCAAGTTCTTTATCAACATAACAGTTTAAAGACTCGACTTAACACACTGCAAAGTGTAACAACACTAGAAGATTGGAAGGAAGGGTCTACCACACCTATCACGAATGAGTTGGCTACTATTCAACAAGTCATCTAGCCAAGCACGCTACTGATCTATAAACAAAATAGGGGAAAATAGAGTATCAGTTATAAAGACTCCATGAATGGATACAGGGAAAGAGATAAGCCAATGTAAAGAGTTTTTGTAATAAATCATACTTTGCAAAGACAACATAATATATCGTAAATATCCGTATAAATACTTTCAAATATTCAATTATTTCATTTCGAACATTTTTCCATAAATGTATTTGAAATTCAATATGCATAAAAGAATCAATAAGCATTTGTATCTCTATTTACAAAACATTTGTAAGGAGAAAAGCTTGAGAGTTCATATCAAAGATATATACCGGTACCTTTACCATTGATAGTGGACTAAATTCTTATACAACCCATACCTTGGGTATTACCTCTCACTTGGGGATTTAAGAAACACTATATGATTTTTCCCACTCGATAGCTCAATGTCAACCTTTTAATGCATGGATAAACATTTGTCAACTTAACATGTCAACATTAGAAAATAAACATTTCCAAAAATTCAATATAGGCATGAATATCACCACCTCAACAATTTACATGTTTGCCTCATCAAGATAATTATAAAGTGTGCGGTACAATGTTCCCCATCATTTGGCCTTTATCATGTGTGGTATAATGCCTCACATCTAGCCCAAGTATTAGTGAGAAATAACACCCCATGTTTGACCTTTATCACTTGTGGTATGACGCCTCACATCTAGCCTTTATACACGTGTGATACAACGCCCCACATCTAGTCCTTATGCAGTCATAGCAATTACATACATATTTAAGAAATTATCATTGCATAACATTCAACAATTAAAATATATGACAATCACATTCGATCCTTTCCATCCATAACACAATTTCATTAATAGGTATCATTACATCCACATATAACCATCAAAAGGTGGAGAGTTACTCATCCACTCTCATAATTTATATTTGTGGGTATGTTACAATCCATATTTAACAATCAAGTAGTGAAGATTTACTCATCCACTATCATAATCCATTTCCATGACACTATAGGCACCAAATTCTCCTATACATGTAAGTGTCTTTAATGGTCCACGCTAGCACATATGCCTTGGTGGTTTCCTAGTAAATTTTCATACTTCAAACCCAATCCATAAATGAACAACCATAACTTTCTTTACCTTCACAATCTCCTTGAAAAGCAAAACCCCCCAAAATCTATAACTCAAAAATAGGTTTAAATGAGCTAGAGTTAGAAAATCCTAATGTTAGGTCACACTTATGAGATTTAAACTCAAAAATATCAAATCTTATTTTAAATTTGAGTTGGAAGGTTGAATCTTTGTCCAAAAGGGTCTTGAAGGTTGAGAGAAGGCTTAGATGGTGTTAAAGACAAGTTGAAGGTTGAAAAAGTGTAAAATGAATTTTAAGGCTCGAGTTGGGTTTTTTATTTTTTCCACGCTAGGGCTTGAGAATCGATTTTTGGCTCCCAAGAACTGATCTTTTGTGCACCAGACTTGCAAAAACTGATATCATGATTCCAAGGATTCGATTCTTAGAATTCTAAACTTGTAAGAATCAACTTCTTGATTTCTAGGAATCGATTCTTTTAGTTCAAAAGCTATTTCGACTTATAGGAATCGACTTCTCAATTCTCAGGAATCAATTATTTTATTTTAGAAGCTATTCTAACTTGTAAGAATTGATATTCCCTTACTTGAGGTCGATTCTTGACAATTCCAATAGCTATCTAAGGTTCATGTACACCTTGAAATCAATCTTTCTTGCCTTGGAATCAAGCTTTCAAGTTTAAATTTATAAAAATTGCATTTCTCTAGCAATCATTTCATATCATATTTTCATCCAATCATATTACATCAACAATACAATCATCATAGCAAGAATATCATGACAATATAGTTAAGAAAACTCATCCAACATCCAACATTGTATTAAATCATAATTCATTCACATAATCCACAGATTATCATATTAAAGTCTAATCAATATCATGGGTTTCCTTTTTCTCTAATTCTTGCAACCATCATTTTCCCATGAATGTAACTCAACCATATGGAGGGATTGAACATAAAATGACAAGAAATTTTCATTGATAATCATCACCAATGTATAATCCACAAAAGTTCAAATTTTTATCAGTTTTCATCATAAGAAAAATCAAGGTTTCACTGATAACTCTTTTATATAGAGTTATTTTGACAGATTTTGGGAACTTAAGTAACTAGGTGTTCGAGATTTTAGGTTCAGATTTTAGTATTTTAAATGTTTTTCTTAATTAAGTTTGATTACATATTAATTAGTTTAATTTTATGTTATTTTTATTTTAAATTACTTTAAGTATAGTTATTGTTGATTTGTCTTATTGTTCTTATAGGAAATTCGATGAGAAAGTTTTATTTGATGAAAAATTATGTATATATGGTGATGGCTTCATTCATACATATTGCAGTGTTTCAAGCATAACTTGAGTTACAATAGTCTAATTGATGTGAATCTTAAACCAATGGAAAGTTAAAAGATGGAGCTACAACTTTCATGTTTACTATTTTACTCAATTAAGAACAAATTGAGCTGAAAATCATTTTGGAAAAGACTAGACTGCTGTAATTTCACACAAGGCAGCACAAGGGAATGAGCGTGGCCTTGAGTTACTCAAGGCTACAGCATAAAAGTGCATCAAAGACACCAGACTTCATTTAGAGAGCATAGCATCACAACATTAAAGAGAGTACGGTTGTGGCTGCACAAGGAAGATGGGCATCAAGTTTGACATGTTAATGTGCTATTTGGTTGGCTTTTTGAGTTCCCTTTACAATTTTGTATACTGTTTTATTGCATTTTCATTGTAAACCTTGATGTTTGACCTATTACAATGTTTTGTGGCTAGCTTTTTAAGGTCGTTTTTTTTCCATAGAAAATTTTTTTCCCTGTGGAAATTACAAACTGTGAATATTCCAATTCATATTAAATGAATTCTAATTGTCGAAAACAATATCAATGTATAAAAACTTTTTTTTTCATCTAATGCAGATTTTAATACTATTTCCTATTTTTATGTCACGAATTGATGTTTTTTTAAATATTCAATACAACTCACTATGGAAGATCACACTGGACAAATGAAATTAGTGGCATTTGGGAAACCAACAGGGAAATTAATAGGAGGAACAATTATCAAACTTACTAGCCTTAACACTATCCACTGAGGTACTCTACTAGAACTTGTAAAAGCTCTAGTACAACAGACAAGAACATTCATTATAAGCCTTACCTCCAGAACTCTCAAAGAAAACCTTGCAAATTACAAGATATTTGATTATAATCAAATAGAAGGTTATGCTTTCTTAATCCCCATTACTAGCATTACATTAGGTC